TTTATTCATTTCTCATCCTCCATATATTACTAAGGATTCTTCCTCTTTGTTTATTTATTTTGTACACTTTTCTCTTCTTCTTCATGATTTAACACTTTTGCAAGTGTAATAAATAAATAAACAAATGAAAAGAAAAAATTCAATAAAATTCCTTTTTATAAATTCTAATAATTTTTCTAACCCTAAATTACTTTTCCTTCAGTCAAACCCTAAAAAATAAAATCCAAATCCATGAAAATTAATTTTTTTTAACTCCGAGTATTACCCTTTTTGCAAACCCTATAAACAAACTATTTTTTTCTAACCCTAAATTACTTTTTTTTTTTTGCAAACCCTAAAAATAATATTTGTTTTTCTAACCCAAAATCATTCAATTTTTTGCAAGTTCTAAAACAAACTATTTTTTTAAACCCTAACAATTTTACAAATTATAAAAATTTAATTTTTGTAAATCTTAAAAATTCTTTCTTTTCATAAATTCTAAAAACCCTAATTTCTTTGCATATCCTAACCTTAAAAAAGAAAAACTTATTTCCTAAATTGAATAAGAGTTATTTACTCATCATTTTTGTTTGCTCTTGTATTTGTTTATTTGTTCTGTATGTCTCTCGTTTGTTTCTTTTTTTGTGTGCAAAAATCTTATAGTAAAAGGTATATCAATTTTGCATTATTATAAAAAATGAGTCTTTTGAATCCACGCAACGCCCAAGTAATTTTGATAGAGTGAAGGATCCACCTTTAATGTTGCTTGGATCGTAAGGGTTTATTGAGTAGCCGTGTGCTAACTTAAACCCTGTGCAGGAGTGGATTTACTTAAAAATGATAATAATAAAGAAAAATTAAGTTTTTTTTTTCACAAAAAAAAAGAAAGAAAATCTTTGAAACTTATTCAAAACATAATTTTCGAAAAAGAACTAAGTGTAGCTTTGATTCCTACGTTACATACGGAGGATACGTAGGAGCTGGAACCTGACCTGTCAAGTCTAATTTTTTTTAATTATTTTTTTTCAGGTTCAAAATATTTTTAAAATTGTTTTAAACTAAGATTAATTTCTAGCATATTTTTTTAGAAAAATTAAAAAATGAAAATTTTATTTTATTTTAAAATATAGAAAATAGAAAATAAAAAATAAAAAATAAAGTGTTAAGATATGTTGTTTTACTATAATATTTCTTTAATACAAAAAATAAAAAAAAAGAATAATATTTTTACAAATAACTCATTCCTTTATTTTAAATAATTTTTATTGTGTTTCCTTATTTTAAAAAAATGAAATTAAAATCTCTTAAAAAATTGGTAAAAATTAGAAATAAATCTAAAAAAAAAAAAAATAATAACAAATTTGAAAATAGTAAAAAAGATATTAATTAGTTTCTCTTAAAGTGAAATAAATGTTTTTTTAAGTTAAAGTAAAATTTTGCACAATTAATTAGAAGGTAACCGTTTTAACCAATGGACGTCGTAAGGTGCCAATACCTTCCTTATACGTAAACGACTCCTGAGCCCAAATTTAGTTTCGAAGATTTTTTTTAATTAAAAGTTTTTCTAATGTTTTCTTTAATAAACTTTGGTGGCGACTACTTGTCATCGCCGTCCCGTTGTGACCTCGATTGTGACAATATATATATATATACTTTATTTCCCTTATCTTTGTACGGTGAAGTCAAATTTTACGCTCCTAAGTCTCCCTAATTCAAAACAAAATTAACAAAAGAAAATAAAATCAGCTAATTTGGACAAAAATTACCATTTAACAAGTGCTAAAAGTAGAACCTTAGTTATATAAAAAAATGGTCTCAAAAGGAATTACCATTTGACAAGTGCACAAATCTGACTTAGAAACAATAACAATCACACTTGACTTCATTGAAATACTAACTTAGGTAATTATTAAATATATATTGAAAAAAATATTTTATAAAATAAAGTAATTTTGTACATTTCAAAATCTCTTAAATAAATTAATAAAATTTAAAAAATAAAAATAAATTATATCTTTGACTAAAAAGAATAATGCGTAAAAATATTTTGACTAAGTTATGTTATGAATTTTGATGAATAAAGACAAAATTATTTTACAACAACTTAGCTATTTAAATTTATATTTCGTAAAATGTACATTGGCTTATATACAATAGAAGAATAAAAATCAAGATGTTACATTTATAATTAATATATTAGTTCATTATTATTTATTAAATCAATAAAAAATTAATTAATTGTTAGTAATCTCAATATACTTTTAGTTAATAATTTAAATTAATGAACTAATATGGTTATTTTGATAATAATTAGAGCTTAATGTTAAGTATGAAAAGAATATTAAGATAAATAATAATATGGAGATTTAAAGCAACTAATAAACTAGTTAATAATGAATACTTTTTAAAAGTTAAAAGTTTAATTCCATAAAATTACAAAAACTAATATAGAATACTACGTGTTAAATTATGCAAATAAATAAGTAAATAAAATCTCTAATTCAAGACTTGAAACTAAAATTATGTGTGTGGATTGATTTCTAGCTTCAGATTTTCTTAAAATCGAGAAAAAGGTGAAGAAAAAATTTGGGAGTGAGAAGAAATTTGATGGTGGGCTCCCAAATTGAAATCTCTTACTTTGTTTTTGGGCCTACAAGGCCCAGCTTTGAACAATTTACCAAATTTTGTATCGAATAGATTGACAACCCAACAACGAAAGTATCCAATTGGATTACAAAAACAAAAAAGAGTGGGGGATATATGTTTATCTAATTAATTATGCTTCTAATTACTGGACAAAACTAGTTATATTTTATAAAACTTACCCCTACAATTGTTTTCTTAAATATAGAGGTCGACCTTCAAAATGCTCGTTACCTTATTTAATCGAATAGAAAGGTATTTTTGTTTTAATCTAAAGTCAGAGGATACAAGGTGTTCCCAAAAAAACTCAAAACTACCTTTAAATATAATAATAAACTTAAAATTATATAGGTAAGTAGTATTAAGTTTTTTTTAAATTTATTCCTAAGTATATACTTTTAGAATGTTACAGTGTAGTACAATAATAATTATACATAAAAACAGAAACCCAATTACTTGACAATATAAATGTACAATGCAAGAAAAAAATTGAAAGGTGAAGAAATTTAACACAAAGCACTGACACGTGTCCAATCTTTGGACATATTTTTTATATATAGAAATTATAGGTCGTTTGTTATTATTATTGATATTATTATTTAAATAAGTTGGTTCCGTACACATAAATTTTTTTAAATATTTCAAAATCTAATTTTTTAGCTTAATATAAATTTTAAAAAGTTTTAAGTCGATTTAATTTGTAAATAGGCCTATTGTAAGCTTGGTATGGTATGGTTAAGCAGAAGTGACTCGAGTATTAGGTAAGGACTAAGATTCTGAAATAAAATAAAAATATCCTAAATTTTGATCAACTTCACGAGCTGACAATATCGAAGCCGTAATTTGTCTTTTTCAATTAATTAAGTAGACGTCACTGGCTATTTTACTGTCAACATAAACCTGAACCATGATGGCTGTGGCTAAAGTTAATATAAAAATGTGATCATAATTTCTTTCCATTTATTTGTGGTCTTTGTAGCCTAATATGTTTGATAAAAGTTTTGAAAGTGATCTTTGTTTTCAATTTCTCTATAAATCGCCATAACACTATTTAGTATACAATCACAAATCGTAATGCTAAAATACTGTTCAAAGCATAATTAGCACTTTAGATATTTGAGAAAAAACTCTGTAACTTATATTATTATTTATTTATGTGAGCAAGATATTGTTATTTCAATATCATCAAATTGTAATAGATGTCTCTGACTGCTTTTTATTTTGTATTTTTTATAGAGTAAAATACATTCTCTTTCTCACTGTTAGATGTACATATTACACTATTATTATTTTTTTATTTAAAAAAATTATTTATTCCCTCTGATTTTATATTATTAAATTTTTTAAAATTTAATATTCATATATTATACTATTTATATTCTAATTTTTATTTGTATGTCTTAATTCTTTGAATATTTTTATACTTTACCTTTCTCTTTGAAGGTATTGAAGGTGTAAGCCATTTACACTGTATTTGTTTTCTTCAAAGGTGGGAATTGTTTTAGTTTTATTTTTAATGATTGATACTAAGACAAGCTTTTAAAACACTTATAACAATAGTAGGAACGTACTCTTTTTTGAAGAATAGATTGAGTTGGTTAAGTTTTTCTAAAATTTTACAAAAATATATTAAATTTATTAGAAAAATGTCAAATAGATGTTTAACTGTGTTTTATATATATATATATATATATAGCATTGGAAGGCAAAGTCTACTCTTTCTATTATTATTATTATTATTGTTGCTTTATAAAAGTATATTTTTTTCCCTTCAAAGTAACAATATATAAAATATACGTTTACATATGCCTAGTTCTAGGAAATATCAATATATTATGAACCCTACAGTGGCAAAAGTGATCTTAGTTATTATCAATTCATCAATGTTATTATCCATCTTCATTGCAAACATTGAATAATGAGATACTGTATGATAAAGCATCTTATCCATCAAGATGTGCTACAAACTAAATTGCAAGTTGAGACCCACAGCATAGGTAAGCTAATTGACATCCACTCAAATGTCTGCCATCATAAGTGTGGGACCGAAAAGCATTGGTATTTATTTTTTAAGGTCCTAGTTTTGCGTAATGATTCAATGCAACTCCACAAACGGAGAAAAACTAGGGAAACTTGGTGACGGTGGCTCTATCTGCTATGATTTCATGTTGCCAGTGGTTGAAGAATATATAGCACCAAATTCAAAAGTGATGAAAATGTAGGTGGGGCGTTAATTGAATAGATAATCAAACCCGTGATATAGAAAGAAAGAAAAGTTGTGTGTTGCATATTGATCCAGATTTTACATCACATTGCATGTGTCTTATGCATATAACACTTTTCCCTATCTCTCTGTCTTAACCAATTCACTTACCACTCTTTGAGAAAGTTCTTAAACTTGGGTCTCTTCAAGATCTTTCTTAAGGTGAGGTCGCCAAATATATGTCATTACATTGTTACATCTTATCTTATTAATTGGAACAGTCACCAACTTAGTAATTTTCCAACAAACGGTGTCTGGTACTGCAGGAATTGAAGAGCTTGGAAAGTGACCAGATGACAACCAAGGATATGAAAGTTCAAATTCCATCTAGGAGTGAGGTCGTGTCAGGTACTGGGGTGGTGGAGTTTCAAGGGGCTCCTACTGTGGGACAAGGTGGGCTTACGAGACAACCTAGTATGACCAAGACCACTTGTCTCTGCTCTCCAACCACACATGCTGGTTCATTTCGATGCAGGCTTCATCGCACTCCTAGCCTCCAGAGGACCAAAAGCATCGAATCAGAGTCCCTCCGTGATCACGCATCTACGGTTCATTATGATAACAAGGATCTAATGCATTGATCTTTTGCAAAATTGAATGTTGAATATTATGTTGCTATGTGGTTACTTCTGTTTGCTGCGTGGGCGTGTCATGTTTACTAGTATCTATCTATTTAGTTATATTCGTGATCTGTGGAGATGACATGTAAGCAATTTTATTCTCTATTTGATTATCAACTCTGTAATTTGTGGTCATTTATCACTCTTGGTTGATTGTCTGTCTTTGAGTTTTGTCGATCCATGTTGAGACACCCACTGTCTTTTCACATTCTTGTATATTTCTAAGTGCTCTTTCTATATTAATTGTAATTATTAGATTTAGAAGTTTGTGGCGTGCAGGCTTAAATTTTAATCTTCTATAATTTCTGTTGTCTTTTTTGGTATTCACAGATGATACAAATTTAGATAAATTTTTTGAATATTTGTAATATTATTTTTCAATCAAAATTAAAGTTTTATCTTAATAATTTAATGATAATATTAAATGCTCATCTTTAATTAAGATGAAACACTACTTTCCATTGAAAAATAACAAAAAATACATAACAAATTATACCTAAATATTATTGATTCATAAACATATTTCTTGTGCCTAATATTATATTTATATTTTAAAATAATAAAAAATCTTAAGAAATATTATATTATTATGATAAAACGATTTAAAAAAAAAACTAAAACATCCTTATTCAAGTTGTTGACGCAGATAAGATTTTTAATGTATATTTTTTTGCTGAATTGAAATTCTAAAATGTGCTTTAATTAGTTGTTATATCATGTTTTAACTAATTGTATGGCAACCTCTACCTTTTAGACCACCATCATTATGTAATCATGAGGTAACTGTATAATATCTTACTTGTTTATGTGTTTTGTTTCTTAAGTTTATTTATGTTATGTAAATATCAAAAATAAAAAGTTTCAGTAGTTGAATGAAAAATATTTTACATTTATGAAATTTCTCCGCTTATGACCTTCCAACTCGTTGATAATCCAAGCAAAAAGAATATTTTATTAAAGACTTTGAAGCCCAATGATTAGGAAAAAGGAGAGAAAAAAAATAAAGAAGCAAATAGTAAAACATAAAGGGAGGAGAGAAAAAGGGCTTAATGAGAAAAACCTAAACAAAAATATTCTAGATCTAGACGTATTTGAGACTTAAAAAAAAAGGAATACAGGCCCCAAAATAAATGAAAAAAGACTTGTGGCCTTCAAAACTTAAGAGAAAAGAGCACAAACTCTGGCAACAAATAAAGGTGGCATGACCTTTGAATTTCAAATTTAAAGTATAGTGTAGATTGAAGGCAAGCCATAATCAGACTAATCTGTCTTAATTGAACTCGAGGGAGAGTTTTGGAAAACAAAAAAATAAATCTTATATCAGTTAGAAATAAGAAAAATAAAGGGATATAAGTGAAGAGTTGTACAAGTCTAAAAGCCTCGGACATCTTAGACAAAGTAACAATCTCACACTCAATCTCATATTTTGTCAAAAAATAAATAAAATAAAAAATAAAATAAAATATATATATATAACACAATGTCATAGCAAGAAACCAACTACTCTCCCTGTAGTGTAGAACTTAAACCGCGTCATTCATAGAAGTTCAACACAAGTGCTAGACTATGGTTATATTTTTCACCTGTTAAATTGTCTTCAATTACCATAGTTGTCTCACCACCCTCATTTGAGCAGTACAGGTTCAAAACACGAATCCAAATCCATCAACAAAATTTTCCTTGACATGGAATCCTGAAGATGAGCAACTATAATCTAATTAAAATTTGTGAGTTGTAACTACTTAGAAGATATACAACACTGTGAATCATGGAAACGAATCAACCACCTACACCCTACATTGCCAACCTGGCCTAGAGATGAAAAATTTGGTTTTACAAACATGGCCTAGTGTATCCAATGAAGACTCAAACAGCACACCCAACGCAGAAATAACACCATTCCCGTTGTCACTTGCAGGTGATTAATTTAACAACTATTAAGATAGCCAATTACTTATGGAAAAATGAATAGTCCACTACAGAATTAGGAGGGTGCATTTCCATTCACGCAACTTCTTGACAAATGATACCAGGTATTTTGAGGCAGAGCAGAAGCAAACAAAACTAAAAGGAATGTAAACATTACTAGTAAAATAAATAGTACCAAATTTTGTTAATGCTAATCATACCTAATAGTATCGGTGATTGATGTCAGGAATATTCATGCAGGCATGCTCTTAGAATAGTTAGTCAAGGTCAAAGAAACTATGATGACTAGTGATCATGATTGCAACAATGATGATGATGACCACCACAACCAGTCCGCCACTATATGATTCCCATATGCTTTATGACAATGTTGAAAATTAAAAAAAGGTATGACTCTTTCACTGCGTCCAAAACAGTGAGAGGTCGGTTTCAGTTTGTGAGATTGAACTAACTAGTTATCTAGGGACATAATTCAATATCATCCCAACAATCCTACAAAATCCAAATTACTGATAATAATTACAAATCTAAGAATAAAGGAGGCTGAAAGTGACCTCCATCAAGCAGATCTACCGCAATTAAGAAGTCAACTCAAGATACCTAAATAATTAGCCGAAATTTAAGAAGTCAGGGCTATATGACTTTCAGGGCCTTAAAATTTCTTAGACATATTTTCTCAGTAATGCTTGATAGGTTTCGCTTTAAATGGAACACCTATCTTTACTCTTTATTGATATTTTTGCTTATATTAGTAGATACAGGTACAAGGAGGTTTATGTAAGGATGTAACAACTCTGAGTCATGTGTATCAAACACACCAAGTGGTTTTCAGTTGTCATTGTTTCAATAATACCACTTAGAAGCAAACATATCTTACCAATGCTGGATCTTAATCTTTCTTGTTTATTTGTCCTACTTTTTGGTCGGCTTTGCATTGCACACATTTTGTTAACCATAATAAATCCCTAGATTGTTCCACCGCATGATAGATTAATGACAAATCTCTGCCAACAAAAATCCAAAACAAAATGCATATCAAACCTTAACTATTTGCCACAACATTCCAATTCCTATCCATTGATATCAATTTAATGAGGACGACATTATCCGCGTGGATACACATAGTTATGATAAACATAATCTGCTATTACATTATTAATTGCTTTATTTCAGAAGCATGCAAATACAAATAATAAATTTTGTCAACAAAATCAGGTCCCAATGAAGTGAACTACTGCATATGAACATAGCCAGGTGTTTCAGATTCGTAGACAAACACGGTACCATTGGTCCTACGTTACGTCTTTTCACATCTGTGATTTACCGAAGAGATTTCCCCTCGTGAAAAATCTCATTTCTTATTATTATAGGTTACATGAACAATGCACATTTAGATTCATTGATTTTCCCTACTAGAAGTTACAAGACCTTTGGCAAAAGAGAAAAATATAGTATATGTTACCCTCTAAATTTTCATCCCCCACATGAAAAATCGAAAAAATTCACTTAATTTTTTTCATTGGCACTTCTGTTGTTAGACCACAATCTACTCAGCATTCGTTTGGGCTGAGTAGGAAGAGCACGAAGACCCTTAAATCTAGAAGTTCTACCAATTTCATCACGAGGCACATCACTTTCATCCAAGTCATCTTCAGCTAGCTTCATTTTTGGTGACTTGAAACCAGAAACACTCCAATTGTCATCAGCATGTATACTTGTTGTGGTGCTCAATGGTGCTGTGTGTTTTGATGGGTCAATGCCATGAGCAGTGAGCAATGCCTTGAAGTTGCTTGGCATGTCAGTTACTTTGCCACCAGATGCTGCTGCTCGTGCTTGCTCAAAGAAGAGAACTTGTACAACTACTCTTAGAGGGAGTAGCTCGTTTTGTGCTGCATGCATGCACGCCTCTACAGAGAGCTTTTTGCAATCTAGAATTCGACATAGCCTTTTCCTTTCGCTCTTGTTGAGTTCTGGATGAGCCTAGATTTTCCAAGTTAGAAAAAGTACAGATTTTAGTGATACTGAACTGAAGAGTTTCTTTTTGGTGGATTTTTAGCTTAATGAAGAGAATGCATAAGTGGCCAAAGAGCTAATATGCACAATCAATCATGTGGAGGACTAAAGAATCTTCGGGCCAAAGTAGTAGCAATAAAATGTAACTCTATGGATTGAAAAATAAATGGGTTACTTTTTTGTAATTTTCACAGGATATTTTTCTTCTTCTTTGTTTTAGCCAAATGAAATCACAACCACTTAAATAGAAATCAGAATCTGCAAGAAACTGTTTCACTCAGAAACTAGACCATGTTCAGGCTAAATTACTGGTGGGTCATCATACACCTAAACCACGAAACAATGATGAATGAGACAAGGTTTCAAGGTCGAGTTGTTTATCCACTAATTCTGTCCCACCACTGAAACATGTTCAGCCAGACCCCCCCTCCCTCCTCCTCCTCTTTGGTTATTTATTTATTTCTACCATGTGTAAAATGCAGTAATTCTGAAACACAAAATATTTCTTTTTCAAATATTTACCTTGAGATAAGTGTCAATAGCTCTGTAGAGATCATCATGATCATGTCTTGCAAATTCTGGAATACTTTCAGCGAGAGCAATGAATTTGCACAGAGGCAAATTCACATCCTTGGCAACCTCTTGAAGGTACCTATCCACAAGCTTAGCCACCTTCAGTTTTGAGCTATGAGATGCTGAGGAAGATCTCCTACTTTCTTGGAATTCAAAGTTAATATTCTCTGCTGAACGAGACCTCCTCCTTTCAAAGGCCAACCTTGATCTCGGAGGGCTAGTTGGTGGACTCTGACCTTGCAACGTAAATTGCTCCAATATTGTCATCACCAAGTCCACTTCATATAACATATCTTTGGTGTTTGACACTGAGGGTATCAAAAGATCATTCACTGTGGCTTCCTCCAACTGAAGTCCTACTCTTCTAGCGAGTTCCACCTTTGAAGAAGCAGAAGCATTAAGAATATTGGCTACCTTCAAGAGTTTAAGAAGGAAGCTGCAAGAAACAGAACCTTTCTCAGATGGAAGCAAGGTCACTATTGACTCCAAAAGCAAACGATGCTTCGTAGTTATTTCGCTTGCTGAATCTGAATCTGAATCAGATTCAATTTCCTTCTTGACATGCCCATTCTTCCTAATATTTGGTAGCCACCTAGATGCATAAATTTTCAATGCATCACCAATGAGATTTGAGGGTGTCTTGCCACCAGATTTGATAGCTATCATGGTTCTCCAATACAAGTCTATGCTCAATTCTGCCAAATCTTCAGCCCACCATCCCTTACTTGTTGATTTATGTCTAAGACTTTCAGTTCCATTGCAAGAAGACACATCATCCCTTATCCTCCTGGAATGACTATGTGACAAACTCACCTTTGAGGGGTGGCTTAAGACCTTTGAGGCAATAGTTTCAATGCATCTGCTGGCAATTGCCAAGTCCTCTGACCACAAAGGCAACGCTTTTGTGGTTTGTAGAGTCACAATTGAGTCCTTCCAACCATGAAGGATGCAAGAGTTAAAGAAAACCTCAAGCTTGTAAATTAAGTTCCCCTTCTCAACATCTTCACTCATCTGCAAGTACTCAGCAGCACATCTTACAGCTACAATGTTGTAAGCACTAAGAGTGATGGTAATACCATAGCAGAACTTAGCACACAACTCAAATGCTTCAACCCCACCAGGAAAATCAGGGAGTTGTACTATTTGATGCTGAGGAGAATCAGGACTCTGTGAGCACAACCTTTGCAGGCGTAAACATTTGGATAGGAGGGGAAACTGAACAACATAAGCATGAACTTGAGATAATTAACATGTGAGTAAGAATTAAATTTTTTTTTATAAAAACAAGAGACTCAAAGTTCATCAAAAATAAAAGGAATGAGATTGTTGATGGTCATAACTTGAAAGAGTTTCTAGCACACCTTGTGAAGAAGATATCTAGTTGCTTTTACTTGAATTATGAGGTCACTTGAAACTTCAGAAGCCACTGTCCTGCATATGAAGAGAAAGCAAAACATGTTACTTACCTGAAGCTTATACATCATGTACCAATAGAAAAAAATCAAATGGATCAATTTATTCCTTGCCTTACACACTCTGCAGTGTAGAAGGTATCTGGACGAGATCCCAGTTTCATAAACTTCATGACTGTGTGACAATTTCTTTTATGCTAAACCATGTATCACTCTGGACTAGTTACTTGCATAATTCAGAACTGCACAACACACAACAAGTGCATAGAGCAGCTAGTGAACGAGCTTTACAGAAAAATGTCTTTTATTATATATAGTGTGTCCGGAGCCTTGATACAAAACTTCAAGAACTTTCAGACAGAAAAAGAAAGAGAAAATTGAGATAAAATTTTCTTGGAGGAGAGAGAAGGTGTAGAAGTCCCAAGAGAAAAGGAAAACCAAGAGGCTTGTTGTGGGAGCAAATATAATATAAAGCAGTTTATATAAGTAGGAGGGACAATAAATATGGGAAAGGACAAACATACTTTCTTTTGTGTTATTTGTTCAAATTTATAGAAAAAAAGAAAATTATGAATACAATTCATCAGATAATATCATAATGTTTCATAAATATAAAAATTTTTAGTTAATAATAAAAAATGTATTTAAAATATTGCTAAAACATGTGCTATTAATGTTATTCAATGGTCAATTAACAGAAACTTGGGGCATCCAACACTCCAAAGTTACGACCTTTCAGTCAAAATAGAAATAACTTATAGGTGATTTGGACATTTTAAACTGAAAGGATCAAAGTGTTACAGAGGCATGCTGTAAAATAAACTATGTAGATAGACTAGCAACACAGCACCTACCAAAAAATAGACAACAAAAGAAATAATAATTAAAAAAGAGTAAAATCATTCTACAATTGAAAATGCTCATTTACAAGAAAGGATTGAATCCAGACATAAGAATTTTACAATCTGAGGTAAGGGCATGATGGACACACTTCCAGCAAAGAAACATTCAGTCATTCACCAGCAAATTCGACCTAGGAAAATTATGTATATTTATTTATTTTTCAATTATGTTTTGCATTATTACTTAGTAGAAGAATACGATGTTGTATGCTTTGTGATTTTATTTTATTTCACTATGGAGACAAGCCATTGCCAGCGTGCAATTCTAAAGGCAACTTCCACGTGCCTATTCTGCGCCCACCAGTGGCCTTCCTTCTCATCATTGCCACTGCAAAATTCCAATTTTTCGTTTCTTTTCTTGCTTTTCTTTTTTATATTTTGAACTTTGATGCAGCCCCTCCGATTATTTTAGTCAAACATTATTTTATTTTATCTGCAACGTGTTACAGTGCTCTCTCTCTCACTCACACAAAAAGTGAATTGAAAATAATTTACCTATAATAACTTTAAAAGGGTCCTGAAATATTTTTGGTAAAGAAATAAAAAAAGAAACAAGAAAGTTACCGAAAATGCTGAAAGGAAGCAAAGGATATGTGTATCAGTATCAAAGGTGCCTTTCACAACTCCAATGAATATCCCCCATTTAAATATTAGTAATTCCATCTTATTATATAAGTGTGTGGACAAAGATTGCCCCTATATTCTACAACAATAACCACACTGCCATTCTTTTCTCTCTAAAGTTTTCTGTTTATATTCTAGATGATCATTCATTTTCATTTAATGCAAATGGTCCAGTAGATTGAAACACTGCATATCATTGGATTAATACTTCGAGAAACTCTAGGTTGTCCAATGTTCGTTCGTGATATATATAATATTTTTATAAAATTTTAAGAGTATTTATTTTTTATATTTATCTTATAAATGTTGAATCTTTCATTTCTTATTTAATATGATAATAAGATTTAATTTTAATAAAATTAATTTTTATTGTATTTAATTTTTCAAAAAATAATGCATTAATTTGTTTTAACTTCTTTTCTTAATTTATATGATTTAGTTGGAATGGTCTTTTAAATAAGATAAAGAGAGTAGATTTTTAACTATTTATTTATTTTTCTAATAATTATAAGTATAATAAGTATTTATACAAAATTGAGTGGTTTAAAGATTAAAAAGAATTTCATGAACAAAAAATATATTACAAAGTTTATTAAGTACTTTTAACAAAATATTCGTCGAATTTTTTAATTTGTGTAATTTTTGGACAAATAATTAGTGGAAGAGGTATAGTATTAATTAGGTAAAAATTAGTGTTTTCTGGTTGAATTTTGGCTTTAGGTGCTGTAATGGGATTGGTTAGAATGTGTTAATCTGGGAGTTGATTGTTGTCTTCAACTTTGTTTGCCTTGGGATTCTAGTGAGGCAATAACGTGTGAATTTTCTGAAATTCTCTCCCTTTCAGTGTGATGACCTCATATCTACTAAGGAACTATGAGATGGATGGTATGTGGACCCTTTATTGGTAGATATTAGAAAAGGAAAAACAGAGTTATGAGGGTGTGAATGATATTCATGATTGGTTCCATACAGTGAGTGATGTGTTAGTGTGATTTGTTCAATGCTAAAACAACATAAATCAATTTTTTGTTGATTGAATTATTAGAAAAAGTAAGAATGGATAAAAAAAGAGAGAGTAACTCTGGTTCTATTTAATTATATGCTTCATCAGTCCCACCCTCATTGATTCCACTGTAAAGCTGGAAATCACTTAGTTTTTGTTGGTAGTCCAACAATTAGTTCACGATGGTTCATCTCAAAATAATTAAAAGAAGCTACACGATGCAAAATTTAGAGAATGTGTGAATTGACATTTAAACGTATAACTATGGATCTATTGAAACAGTAGACTTTAATTTCCTATGAACTACACACTATTTTGGATCACAACCTCTTCAGTTACTTTCTTTATTAAAGTTAAAAACAAAAGAACTGTTATGTAATACCACCTCGTAATCGTGTCTTGACATTTCTAATATATAACAATTTTACAGAACATACTGTGAGTTATCACATAATGATACTAATGCACATCTAAACAAATGCACTAAACGATAAATGACTTAAAGTCATATATAAAAAAGGAATTATCTTAGAATTGGTATCTTCTTTAACCTAATTCATACTATAATATGGTATAATCCTTCTAATTTGAAGTAAACTCGTGAACACCTTTAACCACCCAAAACAATAATCCATACTGGAGAGCCCCACTCAAATCATCCTATATATATATATATATATATATGAAGGTATTATTAATTATTATTTTTACAATAAATCTATATTAAGTTTTAAACACACACACAATTATATTTTATATATGTATTGAAGTGTAAATATCTTTCATCCCCATAATTTGACATTACCATATGTTTAATCATTTGTAAATTTTTAAATATTTTTACATCTTTTAAATGTAATGAGTTTTTTTATATGATTATTTATTTTAAAAAATTAATTAATCATTGTAATTTTTTTCTTTTCGTATAATCTTTTCATGCCTTTTGTCCATTAAGTAGACTATAAGGAAGACAAGAAAAATATTCCATCAAAGGTCACATAAAATGAAAATCATACCATGCATAAGACAGTACAGTCAACTTAATCTTATGCCATTAAGATATTAGTATCTGTATGCTTAACTTATATATTTTTGTTTAATGGACTTTTATTTTTATTTTTTGCATCTAACATTCTTAACAATTTCATTCGCTAAGTCTAACACCTTTCATCTTATATGTTAGAAGAGTATTAAAAATATATTTTTAGGTTCAGGATACATTGAGTCAGTAGTTCATGTTGTGTATGGATGAGTTAGCAAAATTATTGATAATTGAAGGTATTTTAGGTATGTTTTACTTTTAAGTCCTCAAAATTTTAAGGCTCTTAAACTCTGTTGGTGATGAATAAGATCCTGTTTAAATCTTTCATTTGTTGTGAAAAAAGGTTAGGTATTATAGTCACTTTTTCATTTGTATTCGCCATTCCATTCCTCTATCCCCAACCTCTTTAAGCTTCAAAAAATTCTCTTCGTCCTCTCCTGTCATTGTTCTCATCGCACATTTCCCTCCATTCATATACACAACCAATAAATGTAGATTTATATATAGATGATGTATTATTTCAGACTCAACTTCTTCTAGTTGTGGGGTTGATGACCTTGTTAACTAGTATAAGCTTGCCAAAGTTCTGATTGCTTACTCTGACAACATAAGATTCTTAAAAAAAATGATGAAAAACATAATTACATATGTTACATGGTGATTCGCATCACCAATGCCATACCAAGTGGTTTTTCAGTACCTTTCTTCTAGTTTTCTCAGCGACAATTCATCATTAACGCATCTCACGCATCGATTTCTTCCACTTTCATATATAACTACGAAGGTTCTAAGAATTACATAAAAATAATTATTTTATTACTCAATAACTAATCAATAATCTAGGTATGAAAGGATTTCCCTTTTGATATACAAGTTTCATAGACATTTTCATAAGCATTCGGTGTGCAATATACACATTTTACAAACTAGGAAGAAAATGGCAAGGCAGTGAAAATCTTATTACAATTTTTACATATTAAGACAACACAATGAAATAGAAATAAAAGGAATATAATAGTAATTAGAAATCAGATTATTCACTAAAATCTCACTTCATACTGAAAATAATATCTCAACTCGAATCTTATGGTTAAATTACATGGTCTAATTCAATAAAGTCCAATGTCTTGATACTTTACATCAATTCTTAATAAAAAAAAAATTCTACTATTAAGAATAAAAATTAGACACAAGAATTAGTAACAGTTATACAAAATCCTAATTCTTATGTCTAAGTAATTAGAAAATTGAGATGTTTGCTGTAAATTTGAACATTTGCCAATTTATCATTTGTGAAAAATCCTCTAAATTCATACATTCAAATGACTAAAAAATTATTATAAAAGTAAATAAAACTTCTTTTATAAGTTAGAAATAAATTATTATTCTCTATCTTTTGAGAAACTCTTGTTTAACTTTTTTAAAATTTGAAAAAATAAATTATTTTTAATTTACGAGAGAAGTTATAATATTTTTTATATTAATTTTTTTTCTCATAAGAACTTCTTTAAAATTTTACCCAACTAAGCTTTAATTTTCATGGGCCTAGAAACTATAGAACATGATGAGATGATATGATCTAATTAAAAAACTATAAATATTAAGTCTCACATTGAAAATATAAAATTTTAATATAAAATTTATGAAGTATTGAGCTTTCTAATTATAATATAAAGCCAACTTTTTTATAATATGGTTAAGAAAGAATAATATTTGTAAAGTTTTTTAATGCAAATAAATATAAAAGAATTTATAAGTAACTTCAATTTTCTTAAATACATGTATTAATATATAAAACATAAATAAATAGTTATCTCTTTAAATTTATGTATAGCTAAATATACACTAACTATGCTTTTGAGAGTTAATAAAGTCTCTTAAA